AAACTGCTACCTTCCTCAAGACTTGAAAAAAGGCCGGACTAGTTTTGCCCGAGAATTTGGAAAAAAAAAAAACAAAGAGAGGTTATTTTGGTCAACAAAAAGTGGTTGAAAAAGCACCAATTTACCGGCACTCTTTACTCCCTTTCTAAGAAATCAACTTCAATGCTCATGAGGTGATGCTCATCAAGTTGATTCTGTAGAAGGGGTGCTTATCATCCAAATGAGATTTAAATTATCTAGATAATTTAATTTAAATAATCCAAATTTAAACATCTTAATTTTTATTTCATATTTATTAAAATAAAAAATTTGTTTGTTACTAGCTGGACAATCTAGATTTAATTTGGATTGTCCAAATTTAACATTAAAATTTTTATAATTTTATAAATTCACTATCCAGATTTACTTTGAATAGTTTAGATTTAAAATTTTAACTCATAATTTTTAAAAATTTATATATTTTGAGAGTACCCCTTGGGGTATTATCTTTATCTTTATTTTTATTTTTATGAAAATAAAGATTTATAAAAAATTTAATATCAAATTTTTACTATCCAAAGTAGATGATCAATTTATAAAAATTTTGATATTAAATTGAACTATTCAAATTTAATCTATACCATCCTGATTGATGATAAATTATTTATTAAAAATTTATTAATTTTTATTTTAATAAATATAAATATAATTAAAAAATTTTAAATCTGAACAAGGTCCATGTATATCCCATCACCATGATGAGCACAAAAGATGGACAACTTTTTCTAATGATGTATGCAACTTGGCTTAGAAATTCTAGGGCTTGTTTTGGTTTCTGTTTTTAAAAACAGTTTTAAAAGAAAAACAAAAAAATTTAAAAAAAAAGCTTGTTTAGATTAATGTTTTGAATCTAATTGTTTTCAAAATTATTTTTTTTGTTTTTTTAAAAAATAAAAGTATCTTAAAGTTTTTTTCATTTTATTTTTCTTATTTTCAAAATACATTCACTTGATTATTGAAAATTATAATAATTTTGATTAATAATTATCATAAGCCACCATCAGTAATCGCCAATGACCATCACTATCAATAATTTTTTTAATAGGTTAATACACAATTTAGACTATGAACTATAAATTATAGGCAATTTGAATACTAAACTTATATTTGATACATTTTGAACCCTAAACTTATATTGTAGGGAAATTTCTCTCCATCATTGGCTAAAAACAAATGTCGTTACTTTTAAAAAGGGGCCCCAATGTAAATTTTTTCTTAAATTTTACTCTTCCTCTCTCTTACCTTATTTTGAGAGAAATTACACATCATGCCCCTTTCTAAAAAAAGATAATGGACATTTGTTTTAATTTGATGGTGACAGAAAAATTACTCCAAGTTTAATTATTCAAAGTTTAAAATGTACCAAATTCAAGTTTAAAATTCAATTGGCTCTTGAACCTATAGTTTAAGGTTCAAATTGCATATTAACCATTTTTAAATTGTAAAACTATTTTTAAGTTAACACAACCAAATAATTTTTTTTAAAAAAAATAATCTTAAAAATTGTATTAGCAAAAAGAAATAGTGAAAACAAAAACCAAACATGGCCTTATCACTCAAGAGACTGCTCAAATTGTTGCCCCAAGTGTTTCGCTTATGTTTCTAATGACATTATTTTTTTCAAATTATTACCATCCAAATTAAATAATTTTTCTTTAATAATATCTTATCTTATATATTGTAAAATATTTTAAAAAAATGTAGTTGAAGGAACAGTGGAATTAATAGTAATTGTGGGACCCCCGAACACTTTTTTAAATAAAAATTTAAATTGTTTTTTCTCAACTTTTTTTTGGTTACAATATATTTTTGTTGTCCTTTTTTTTTATTTTTTAAAAAAAATTAAAGCATGTTTGACCCAGATTACTAACGATTAAAAATTATTTTTATATTATTATATCAAGAAATTTTTAAATTATCTTTTCATTTTCTTGGTAATAAGTTCAGAAATAAAATATGGTATTTATATTTTTATTATGCATAATAAAAATTTGTAAAAAAATAACAAGTTTTTTAATTAATCAATGCTATTCTCTTGTTGAAAGCAAATCACTATTCAAGGAACATAATAATTGTGGGACCTACCAATGACTTTTTCGTTTAAAAATCACACTGCAAGCTTCTAAAGAGTAAAAATTGCACCGTAGGCCCAATAGATTCTATTATTGCATTGCAAGCTCAAGGGTGCTTGTTATAATTTTTTTTTTTTGAAGCAAAAGTATAATTTTGTTCTTATATGATTTGAAAACTTAGACCATATACAACACAATATTCATCAATGTACAACACAATGTCCATACATGTTTAATTGATCAATAAATTTAATGAAATTTAAAAGTGACCCACACAATATACAACACAATATTCATGCATTCTCAAGTAAATATCCATGCATGGACACACATGGACATTGTATTAAGAATTATTAATATCGTGTGGTGCATTCATGGACATCATGTTATACATATTCTACATGACTTTATTTTTGTTAACTTATAGATCAACTGAACATGCATGGACATTATATTGAGAATTCATGAATACTATATTGTGTATCTATGAACATTGTATTGTACATGCTCTATGTGATGTATGTTTTAACCTACAGATCAATTAGACACACATGGACATCATGTTGTATATTCATGGACATCGTGTTGTGCATCATGGACATTGTGTTGCATATAATCTGAGTCTTCAAATCACATAAAGGCAAAATTATACTTTTGCACCTAAAAAAATTTGCAACAAGGGCCCTTGGACTTGCAATATAATATCAGAATGCATTGGATCCAAAGTAAAATTTTTTGTTGTTTGAGGGCTTGCAGTGTGAATTCTCCCTTTTTTTTATGCGACTTTTTTTTACATTTTTTTTAGTGTTCATGATCCTCTTGTTAAAAAAATTAAAGCATACTTAATCATGACTACTAACATCTACTAAAAAATTTAAATTATAATAATATTATATTAAAAAAGGAAATAAAGAAATTTCTCCTTTATCCCATGCATTGCACGACATTTTCTATTTTCTATGAAATATAAAGGGACAATTAAATTCATATCCCATACAAAAAAATTAACTATCATTACAAAGTTTATTAACAACTGAATTAAAACTAATGTGTTGTCAATAGCCTTAATTTAATTGTTAATAAACCTTATAATAATTATTTTGTTATATGAAACTTCAACATAATTCTCCCAAATATAAAATATTTACTATCCAAAATATGTCATGTAAGTCTCGCGCTTTCATTACTGTCAGAATTCAAATGTAAGTTTTTATTCTTATAAAATTTATAATAAATTTTTATTCTTAAAAATATTTTAAACACAGCTAATACATGAATATATATATATATATATATATTATCTGAACACAAATGTAAGTTCCCCCTGTTATATATGAACTCTGAGATAATTCCTTTAGACAGAGCAAATACATAATTTGATCAGAAACTAACGTGCAAACCATCAGTTACTATCTCTAACTCAATTATTCTTAAAAATAAATTCAAAGGATTAAAATAAAAGAAAACAGACACTACAATTTTAAAAAACAAGAACAAAACACAACGTAATAAAGAATTATATTGATAAAAATTAAACTGATTTGATGAAGTTGCTCTAATTTAGTTAGATGCATTTCAAGTTATCAATATATGCCTTACGCTTTAGATTAATTTGATGGTTAATTTGTGTTTCTACACCTAACAAGATAACGTTATAACTAAAGAAATCATAATGGATGAAACTGATATCTCCTTAAAAACTTGATATAGACTAAAAGTTAATTTCATTATCCCTTATATATGCACACACTTATAAAATTTATAATAAATTTTTATTCTTAAACCTATTTTCAACGTAGCTAACATATGTGTATATGTATTATCTGAACGCAGATGGAAGTTCCCCTGTTATATATGAATTCTCAGATAATTCTTTTTAGATACAGAAAACACATAACTTGATCGGAAAATAACGTACAACCACACTAGTGCAAAATAAGGGTTTAACAAGGAATTTTTTATATCAGTTGAAAGGCAATGATGTAAAAAATCATGGCGATATCATTTTTCATGTATAGGAATGGGTAATATTGAAAAAATAAATGCATTATTTTTTTAAAAAAAATAGAGAGACTTTTACATTGATTATCGTTGCCAACTAACGTAAAAAGTATCTATTTTTCAAAAAAAAAAATTTAAATGTATTTAAGGAGAATTTCAGTTGAGGACCATGATAGAGACTTGATTATTGGTGGATAAAAAAATTTGAAATTTCAGTTCAGTTTAAAAAAAAAGTCAAACTATATTGGAAAAAACTAAAATACTCTTCACTTATTATGTAAAATTATTAATTATTAATTTTCTTACTTCATTTGTTAATTTACTAATATAAGTTGCAAGTTGCATGAGTTAACATGTTAATAGTTATATAAGACTTAACATTAGTTGTTCAAACATAAGCAATAATATTAGTTATTAAATTATTAACTTTACTTATTAATTTACTGATATCAATTATAAATTAAGGACAGGTATTATAATTTACTAACATCAATTGTAAATTATTGACAGATCTTATAATTTACAATTGTTGTCAATAAATTAACAAGTAAATTTGATAAATTAACAATGAATGTTACTGATTATCTAACAATAAATGTAATTTACAAGTAATATTGTAAATAGATAAGTAAAATAAGAAAATTAATAACAAGTAATTCTATATAACAAGTAAAAGATATTTTGGTTTTTTTACTGTTAAAATTAATTTGACTTTTCTCTCCTAAACTAAACTGAAATTTTAAAATTTTTATGAACTCATTAATAATTAAATCTCTACCGTGTCTTTAACTGAAATTTTTCCATATATTTACTACATCAATTATAAAATAGACTTTTTATATTAGTTGTACAACGTGTAAAACTCTAAAATAACATGGCCTTGTGAACTGATATAAGAAATTATTTTTAACTACTGTAAAATGTCTTTTCTATTACAGTGCCAGATACAAACTCTAACTCAAAGGATTAAAATAAACCTATTTTTGTCTATCATAACAGAACTGTACGCGTACATCTTAGGCATATAACAAACTATCTATATGTATGTATGTATCTGAACTAATCCAGATTTGAACCGAATCAAACTTTAAATTGGAAGAAACCCTTCCAACAGACCAAAAAAAGAAAGGAAAAATCAGTGATTTCTAGAATCCAAGGGAAACCAACGTTTATGGAAGGAAGACTGATAAGGGATCAAGAAGAGAACCACAAGAAGCAAGAGTGCGACCCCCCAAGGCGATCCTCCGGCACGGTGCAGCGACTCTCTCTCCGACGGAAGCAGGTTGAGAAGCGAAGAAGCTGGTGAGCTTGATGAGAGGCAGTGAACAAGCAGCAGCAAGAGCAGTGGAACAAACAAGAGGCAGATCTTCACCTTTATGATCGTGTCCTCGAACGCTGACTCGTAGTTTATGTACCATGTTAGCCCTAACACGAACAAGACGATGAAGAAGAAGAAGCAGAAATGAATCGGGAAAGAGAAGTAGTCCAGCACAGACTGATTATCGTATCTGGCCATTATTATGTGTGAGCTTAGCTTGCACGTACGATAATTAGGGTTCTTGAAACTGGATTGTGAGTGAATTGATGAAGAGCTGAAGAAGAAGAAGAAGAAGAAGTGGGTTTGGGGTTTGAGCAAGATCTTGATGATGATGATGATGGTGAAGAAGAAGCGTGAAGAAGGTGCTTCAGATGTTTAGAGGAACTTTCTGGGATTCGTTTTGTAGGGAAGTGAAGTGGCTGTTTGCTTTGTAAAATATGTATTTTTATATATAAGGAGTTTGGTGTCGCTTTTTAAAGTTCATTCACTGTCACATCAGGCTTTTGAATTATAATTTGCAATCATACACTTTTAAATAAATGTAACCATACATTTTTATCTTTTTTTTATGCATTTTAAAAAAATTAATTTTTTCTTCAAGAAATTATATGTACTTTTATTTTTATCTTTAATTTTAAATAATAATATAATTACATTAAATATCTTCACACTATCAAAAAAAGATAAGATTGAAAAAGATAATTTGATTATTACAAAGTATTTTACATTTTGTATCAAAAATTATTTTTAAAAAGTGTCCTACAAATAGAATTAAAAATTATTTTTAAAACGTATCTTATAAATAGAATAAAAAAAAGTATTATTTTTTTATATAAATGGTTTAATTTTTTTAGAAAGTATTATTTTTTAAACAAAACTAGGCAAATCAATAAATTTTAATTATAACAATTTAAAAATATATTTTTTAAAAGCAAAAATATAAAATTTTAAAAATATTTTTCATTTAATATAAATTTAAATATATATATTTATTTATATTTAATCATTACATTACAACCATTTTAATTTTTTCTTCACTTAAAGGATAATATTGAAAAAAACATTATTAATGAATCTTATTTTTTTATAAATTATCAAGTATTTTGGGGATAATGAAATACTTCCAAAATTATCTTATAATTTTGGATAAATGAAGTATAAGTAGTAAGTTTTGCCGACAGCAGTTAATATCTCTCACATGCGCCAAGAGCAATAGTAGACATTTCTCAGTTAAATTACTACATAATGATTAAGTTTAATTATTTATTAGCCTTTGATCATTGTTCATTAAGTTATGAATTACTAGTATGATTGAACGTGGAAATCTTTTCTACTGCCTGTAACGAGGGACTAATTAATGTCAGATAAAGAAAACTAATGTTAATTCCCTTTTAATTTACATTTTTATAAGCTTTTCCTGAAATTTGATATATATTTTAAAAAATGTTCCGTATATACTAGAAAATGATGTTAACCTTTTACATGAAATGCAAATTTTTTTAATAAATTATCTAACTGCATTTATAGTACTACTAGATCAACAACAAATTTTTATAATATCATGGTAAAATTATTTCATATTACAATTACAAATATCCAGTACTTTGACTAGAAATTAAAATCAACATGTAAGATGCTGACACAAAAATAAAAACAACGCAGAAATGGAAAATAACGATAATTTGAAAATGGCATAATGGTAAAGAGTTCTTGCATATTAATCAATTAGAATAGTAAATAACAAGAATTTGAAAATGATAGACACTTGGTGCAAAACAAGCAATTATTTGATCCAGATATAAATAATAGAAGAGACTTTTGTAAATAGAAATGTATAAATCAAACATCAAGAGAACTAAATAATTGTAAATAATTAATTTTGAAAGACATTGTAGGTGGACCAAATTCGAAGCTTGGTGATCATGGACAGCTAAGATCTCTGGAATTTACTTTCCTTTCATTATAGATATTCGACTTTTGAGTGTGGGGCTTCGCAGTTCAGTTCACACATCGTGATTCTTCTATTAACCAATATTATTGAATTTATTTATTTATTTTATTTCGTGGCTGAGATTATTTTCAAATTGGCAAGCATCTGAACCAATAAGTGATCTCCATTTGTGACCGACCGTAGATTAAGAACTCATGAACCCGACGAAAACAAGGAATTTGAAAAAGACAATGTGTGTGCGTTCCTGTTTTTGGGCCTTTGGTGGGAAGTGGGGTTACATCATGGAAAAGCTAATGCTTCATGATTCTATTTTGTAGCTTTTTTCTATTTTCATCATTTCTCTTATATAGTTATTAAACTAGGTCAAATTCAGGTATTATTGAGGATTTAACTGGGATAACTCTTCTTAAAATATTTTTACAGTTAGACGGATTCAAACTTAAAATATCGTGCTTAAACAGTCATGGCTCCTTTTCCAGTCAAAAAAAAAAAAGAATCATGGCTCCTTCATTAGCCCAAAAAAAAAAAAGGGGGGTCATAGCCCTTTTGCTATAACTAATATCTATTGGTTTGTTCATTTATTTTTGGATAATGAAATTTTTTATTTCTCAAATTTATCTCAGTTATTGATTTGGTCTTCAAATTTAGCTTTTATCAATTAATTTCCTGAGATTTCAAAACCATATGCAATTAGTTTTTTTGGTTTGGAAGGAAAATAACATTATAATGACTAATTGTATATGATCTTGAAATTCTAGGCCTTAATAGATAAAGATTAAATTTTAATGACTAAATTAATAATTGAGATAAAAGTTGAGGGTTCAAAATTTTTATTATCCCTTTATTCTTTTATTTATGTTTTTGGTAAAATAATATTTAGATAAGTTGAATCCAACATGCAAGCTTTATTATTCAAAGAGTATATATAGAAATACTTGTAAATAAACTTGGGTTTGAACCCATATTCTTATTATCATATGTGAGTTGTATTATTACTGACTAAGGGCCCGTTTGGTTTTTATTATCATTTTTTATTTTTAAAAATTATTTTGTAATATAGTTTTTAAAATTATTTTTTAAAATAAAATAAAATAAAAATTTGCTTGGTTATGTCAATTAGAAAACAGTTTTAAAATAAAAAATGGATTGATAGTTATAATTATAGGTAGTTAATGATGGTAATTAATAATAAAAATTGATCAAGGTAACTATAATTTTTAATAATCAAATGCAATGTATTTTAAAAATAAGAAAAATAAAATGACAACAACTTGAAGTTGTTTCTATTTTTCATTTTTAAAAAAAAAAATGAAAATAGTTTTAGAAACAATTAAATGAAAAACATTTATCAAAACAATTTTTAAATTTTTCTATTTTCAAAAACAAAAAAATAGTTTTTAAAAACAAAAAACAAGCAAGCCCTACATCACTTTTGTTTTGTAGCATTTTGTTATTTTCCCCAAGTTTGTATTTGCAAGAAACTTTACTGTTGAAAAAGATATGCATGTTTGTGATCTTGTAGTTCATTGTACCTTTATTCTATATTCTCTGCTATAAATAAATGGCCACTTTATCTTTTGTATTGATTCCCATGATGAATTATTTGGAGATTGATAGCAACAACTCCATGATTCTTCAATTTCATAATAAATTATGAGGACAATATGTCCAATAAAGTCAATTAACCTTGTCTATGATGTATAAACATATGTGTGTGTGTGTGTGTGTGTAATTATTAAGGTGAAAATTGTCCAGTTCTGATATTTTCCCTTTTTCTGGGGTTGTGTGTGTTGTGTGTGAAAGAAGTATAAACAGTCGTAGTTCTTAGCTTTGATAATTTTTTTGTTTAAAATAAAATAAAATTTTTTGATTTGTGGTTGTATGTTCTCAGCCCCTAAAATTCAGGCCAGAGGGACCTTCAAATTGACTAACCATATTTTGTTTTTTTTTTTTTAACCCTTGCCATAGGGTCTCCTCATATGACTAAATTAATTTCTTCAAAAAAAAAATAAAAGATGACTAAATTAATTAACATGATTTTAATGTACAATTCAAGATAATTTATTGTAAGACTTATTTATAGGGAAAGTCTCAATACTATGAATATATAATAGTTAAATCTCTGATAAAATTTTCTAAAAAAAATAAGTTACAAAATATTGATTCAAATAATTGCAAACATGAATCTTAACTGTAAACTCAGAGTTATATTTAAAATTTAAATATATTATTCACAGTTAGAATTTGGGGAATCTAACTGTAATAAATTTATTGTTTTGGGATTTTTATGTCACTTTTCCTTATTTATATAGTGTCCAAGTATAAATTTTAATTGACGGATGCCAAAGAAGAAGGTTGTACAAGTAGAGAACTCTTTAGCTGTTTAACTAATAATAATAAATGAATGGCTTGAAATCACAAAATTACTTTAAAGTCTCATATCTTTTATTGAAATTATTAATTTTCTATATTTAAATTTTTAATTAATGTCGGATAATTGTCAATGGACTGTTTAGTTGATAATTAATCAGTAATAATAACAACTATCCGGTAATAGCTGACAATTTAAGTAAAGAACGTGGGACTTGAGAGCTGGTAATTTTGCAATTAATTTTATGGGAATTTTTTATATTCAATTTTTTTATAGGACTTGAGAGTGATTTTTCCAATATTCAACACATTATTTGTTTCAACTCGAATCTTTCGAACCCGAAGCCCAAAAAAATAAATGAAAGAAACAAAGAAACAAAATGAAATTTTGATCCGATATTAGTTTAATCAAGGCAAGACCAATTGTTAAACCGATCCAAGAGAAAATTACAGCTTCTATGTTTTGTTAGAGGATGGCAACTAGAACCATAGAAGGCATTTGAGGTGTATCAATTTTGTTTTATTAGTCATTATGGTGGGCCTAGAAATTATGAAGATGTGGGTCGGCCTGCTTAGTTATTTGAGCCCATTAGCCTTGTTCCCATGTCATTTGAGCTTATTTAATTGACATGAACTAAAGTACTAAACCTGACGGGGCCCATCTTTTCTGATTTGGTAAGGATCTGAATCGTTGAAGCTTGGGAAATCCTGGGCCTTCGTTTTGTGAAGTTGTGAAGAAGCCACCAAACATGCATTGCATATAAAAAGAATCAAATTCAACAAGACAAAAAACTTATTTATTGATGAGAATTAATAATAAATCTCATTTAAAAAAATAACTTTATATTTTTATTTTAATAATAATTTATTTTTTGTTAATTCTTATTTGTGAATGTGTTTCTGGAATGATCGTTGAATGTAATTCTCTCTTGCATATACCAAAATAACATTCCTATTTCAAGATGAGTTGTACACAATGCCTTGTAGCAAACAAGGCATTAATATATAGTTAATGCTAACGAACACGTAACTCAACTAATAAGGAGCTGTACTAACTTAATCAATGATTTCAAGGTTTTAGTTCTGAGAATGCAATTTT